AAGGGAGATGGTATTGGGGATCAGAGGGGAACACAGACATGTGAGGAGCCTCTCCTGATTAGAAATCACTGAGAAATAAAGAGAATGCATTTTAGAATTATAATATAAGTCAATGAGGAAGTTATCATTCAATGTACAAACAATATTCTGGGAATGAATTTAATCCCCCAAACAATATACACCTCTACTTTTTCTGTCCTCTGTTGTTGCATAAATAGAAATGGTAAGGAATTGGAAACCATCTGGTCCAGCCTTAGTAAATAGAATTCAGCTGTGAAAAAAAGGACAGGTGAAAATATAGAGGTACTAGGCTGTGGTTGAGGATTGAATGAATGGATGTATGTGTACATATGTCTGGGAATGAATGACTGCATGGTGTATGTATTTGGGATGCTCCAAGAGCCTTAGTTACATATACACACACATATATACATATTTTATTTTGTTTGCGATTTCATGATTGTAAAGAATTCCAGTTCCTCAACTGTAAGATGGGAATAATAATATCTACTTCACAGGGTTATTATGAGGATCAAATGAGATATTTGCAATGCCCTTAGCACAGTGCCTGACACATAGTAGGAACTTAATGGATGCATATTCTCTTTCCTCCTTCCCCTTCCAGATGAGGAAAGTCTCTTTCCCAATGTAGCTCAACAACTGTTCTGCAACCTGGAGTCTGAGACAGAGTTACCTGGGAGCACTGAGAGGTTAAAACATTTGCCTAGGATCACAAAGCCAGAATGTGTCAGAGGTAGCCCTTGAACCAGATCTTTTTGACTCTGAGGTTGGCTCTCTATGCACTGTGACATGGGACATCCTTTCCTACCTAACATATATGATAAACTTTCACACCATGAGGCATGGGAATAGGAATTTAGTGGGGGTCATATATTTGAGTATATTGTTGTTGTTCAGGCATGTCTAACCCTTCCTGACCCCTTTGGGATTTTTCTTGGCAGAGATACTCGAGTGGTTTGCCATTTCCTTCTCCAGCTCATTTTACAAATGAGGAAACTAAGGCAAATAGGGTTATGTGACTTGCCCAGGGTCACATGGCTAGTATGTGTCTGAGACCAAATTTGAACTCATGAAGATGAGTGGTCCTGGTTCCAAGCCCAGTGCTCAAGCCACTGCACCACTTAGCTACCCTTAATATATAACACACATACACATATACATATACAAATATAAAAGTCATAGACTCCATGCCTGTGCTCCTCTAGAGGTTTCAGCTGATTACTTTCTACATCAGTTCTCTGAAGTACACGTCATACCCAAGTTCATGTGAGAGCTGATTCACACCCAAATACGATGAATGTCTTTCTAGAGAGTGGCTTGCTTACCGACCATATCATGCCCTATGCTTTCTAGATGGAAAAAACTTTCCAACCCCAGCAATTCTCAGAGGCTTGTTTAGATGTGCTTCCAAACCACAGAGGATGTTTCCAAAAATCCCAGAGAAGAGGAAGGTGGCCTCCACCTTGAGAAACAGCCTACCTGTGCAAAATACTCTTCTGAGATCCTTCCAGCCCATTCGATGCACATCTCCAGAGGGCGGCATGGGTTGGCCACATCTGCACACTTGATCATCATGCGTTTGATCAGGATTTGGTTTTCAGGGAAGTTCTTCCCAATGGGGTTGCATTCACAGTCACTGCCTTCACCCTGCAACAGAGGCAATCAGGGCAAGACTGGCTCAAGACGTTCCTTGTAGAAGTAGCTTCTAATAGGGATAACCCAATTAAGCATGATTAAACACTCCTTGGTCATACAGGGGACTGGTAGGAAAAGTGGGCTTTTCTACCAGGTCTATTAGAAAAAGAACTAAAGTCAAATATTTTCCCCCAAGAAATGGAATTTTTTTTTTACTTTTTTCTTCCTGCTATTCTAGCTACTGGCACTGAATAGGTCTTCTGTCTCTTCCACCCATTTGTCGATTTATCCAGTCCCTATCCTCTCTTGATTAGCTTCTCTTCTTCCTAAGCCATGAATCCTCACATTCATTTGCCTATAGATAGTGGATTTCTGTGCATACTTGGCACAATGTCTAAAACCCAGCAGGAGCCTAATAATTCTTTGCTCAATCATAATGAGAGCTAGCATTTATGGAGAACTTTAAAATTTGTGAAGTCTTTTACATATTAATATATATTATCTGATCCTTACAACAACCCTGTGATATAGGTGCTATTATTGTTCCTATTTTATAGATGAGGAAACTAAAGAGGAGAGAGGTCAAGTAATTTGTCCAAAGTCACACAAGGAGGAAGTGTCTGAGGCAGGATTTGAACTCAGGTCCTCCTGCTTCCAAGTTCTAGTACTCTATGTATTATTCCTCGAAGCTACCTAACCATGAGGCATGAGAGTAGGAATTTAGTGGAGGTCATATCATACTGTATGTATGATCTATTCTGTCAATGACTTGTGATTGGGCCATGAGATCCAGGGGCAAGCCAGGGCCAGGAGAGACAAGTGCCTATGAAAACAATTCTTCTCAGATAAGAAAATATACCTCCCTCCATTCTTTGCTGAGATGGGGGGGGGGGTCTATGGGCATGGAATATAATATAATAATTTCATCAGACTTGTTTGATATGTTGGTGAGTTTTGCTGAACTGGATTCTTCCCCTCTCTTTTATTCTGTGGTACAGTGTGACGCTGGGCAAGTTACTTAATCCTGTTTGCCTCAGTTTCATCATCTGTCAAATGAACTAGAGAAGGAAATGGCAAACCACTTTAGTATCTTTGCCAAGAAAACCCCAAATGGAGTCACAGAGAGTCGAACACAACTGACAAACGACTTAACAACACCAAGAATAGCTAGTTAGCTCTCTGGGTGGGGGAGGGATATATTTGGAAACAAAAGTGATGTAAAAATAAAAATAAAACCAATCCTCAGTGATAGGCACCAGTAAGCCCTTAACCACATCTATGTGTCTGTATATCATTAGAAAAGAGAAACTAGGACATTTGCTAGGTAGACCTTTCTAAACTCAACTACAGTTCTGGCCGAGGGAGTCATTAATGACATCTCCAGGGCTCTGTCAGCCTGAGCACTGAATGATTTTGTGAATAGTTGTAGGCTGTGGCTAATTAAATAATAATAGTTGTAGGCTGTGGCTAATTACCAGGCCTTTGAAGGGAAACCTCATTGTGTTCCTTCTTCACCGCTGGGATGAAGTGAGGCCACTACAATTGATAAATCTCCAGCAGGTGCTACAAATATCCCCAGGAAGTGAAAGGGAGAGAGTGGAATTTATCGAATGGGGGGGGTGGGATGCAGGTGACTGGGTCAGAATCGTGCGTTAGGAAGAGTAATCATTTAACAGCTGAGAGGAGAGTGGACTGGAGTGAGCAGAGACCTGAGAGGGGAGTTGAGGGCTCTTTTCCTTTGTTTGCAGAGTCCTAGAGATTATCATGGCGAAAACTCCCTCCATCATCTGAATCAAAATTCCTTTATGACTGACAATCTTAGAGAGGTGCCTACGGCTCAAAACAGGTTGACTTGCCCATCATCTCATGGCTAGCAAGCTCTTCCTGACCTCAAGTATGGCTCTCTGATGACTGCCTATGCTGTGCAGGACAGTACACAGAATGTTAGAGTTATATTCAGAGAACCTGCATTCAAATCCTAGCTCTCCAACTTACTACTTGTGTGACATTAGTTAAGTTACTTAAATTCTCTCGGCCTCCGTTTTCTCATTGATAAAATGACACTTAGATGAGGTAGACCTCTATAATCCTATCACTTTTGTATAGTTAAATTCTGATGTTTCCTGGGGAAACATTGAATGGGTGCAAACAAGAACCAATTTCAGCTGTTTTCAGAAGAAAGCCTGGGTGGGGATACAATTCCAGAAAAGCACTCAATATATTAAACCCTTCTACACTGTAGCACCATACTCAGAGCCCCAGGTTCTGGCACACATGTTATAAGGCTTTATTCATCTGTACTTGCAAATAGTTCTAACACTAATGATTGCATGGGTGATGATGCTTTACTAAGCATAATTGCAGGCCAAATGGGTGTAAGTCTTCAATTTAAAGGGAGATGAAGCCACTGCTACATATAAATTCAGAGAAGAACAGACTGTAATCACCACAGGCTGGTGCAGCCAGTGGATGAGCCCAGGACTCAGTTTTCCACCTTATAAATCTGAACTCTCTAGAAGAGGAAATAGGAAGCGGCTGAAAGGACCTGCCTATGGTGAACCCTTAGTGAGTTCTTCCCATCTCTTCTCCCTAGCCCCTTGTTGTGGGTGAGCGGTCTTTGCTGAGGGAGGAGAGTTGTATTTTGGTTCCCTGTAGTGTAGCCTTGGGGATGGGAAGACTTCCCCTGTATATGACCCTGAACCAGGCTGCCTGGGGATCCAACCTGCACAGCCAGCTCACACATACACTCCTTATCAAGCTGTAAAATGGGAATATTTCTCTGCTGTCTGCTGGTCCCAGCAATATGCCCTGTCACATCCTGGCCTGAGGACGTAGTCCATTTGTTTCTCTGGTTATTGCTCAGAGTTCAAAATGAGCAGAAAGCCTTTTTTTACAGCTTCTGGGCAGAAGTCATGCCTTCCTGGCAGAAGTCAGGCCTTCCTGGCTTCTGTGTAGGAATTTTTCAGAGGGTCTGTTCCCTGACAATGTGAAGATTAATGGGAAACATTGCATCCTATGCTTAGCACTTCATTTTATTGTACCAAGAAATCCTCTGGGGCCTGAATAAGGGGAAGGGAAGGAGCCCAGGTTGTCGAGGGTTGGTTGGCCCATTCAGGATAATAACACAGAAAACAAATGGATATTCTTCTGCATGGTTTTCACTGGAATCTTCATTTACAGTTATTGCATCTAATGTAAATGGGTAAAATAAAAATCTGGGGAACAATAGAAATAATTGGATGCTTTTTAATGCAAAGTAAAGCCCAATCTGAAGACTGCCTTCTGGTGCCCTGGCAAATAGGAGCAAATATGTTTGTTTAATCAAGCAATTACAGAATGCTTTGGTTTTTAAGCACCCACATTATTAATGCTTTGCTTTTAAACACACATGCTCCGGATTCAATTAAGATCTTTGGGCACTGGCTTGTCTGGCTCAGTGTGATGTGAATCAGCTCCAGTGTAGTTCTTTAAAGCACTCCTTAATCTTAACGTCTCCCAACAGAGTCACAAAGGCCAATGATTTTTTTTTTAAATGGAAACAGTGGCTCTCAGGGCCAAGCTAAATTAGGAAGCTATACCTCACTCTTTGCTTCTCTCTTTCAGCCTCCTCATTGCTCTCTACCTGCAGGTCAATCGACCTTTTACAGTCAATCAATTTACCTCAAGGTCTTTCTTCCCGGGATCTCAGAAGAATTCAAGGACATGATATCATGCATTCAGAAAAGGATGGCTCACTACTATCCTTAGCCCCACTCTTCAGATGAAGCCCAAGGCACTAACCACCATGACCAACAGAAGGAGAGAAACTATGTCTAGATCGGCCAGTATTCAGGGGAAAGGCCACGCGCTCCCCTCTCTTACGTGGGAATTGCTTTCCTCAGCGGCCATGGGCTTGTTGATACTGTTCACAAACTTGTTCACGTGCTCAAAGTGCTTTGTCATCTCTGTTGCCAAAACCATGTCAATGATTGCCTGGCGCAGTGTTCGGTAGTGGGTCCTGAAGGAACCAGAAACAGACACATGTTTATACTGCTTACAGAATGTGGCCAGTTTATACACCCCCACCCCTAACTTCCCACTATGCCGATCCCAGGGAAAATGTGGCCCTTTTTTTCAGGCTAAGATTTGAAGGTGAGTCTTACACTTGGAATCCAAATCACAGGGTATGTAAAAAAGATGCTTTGTAAAATTTAAAGTATTATATAGCTCTTGATTATTATATATTATAATCATAAATAATAATCATATACCACATTATTTATGATTGTTACACATATTGATGTTAACAAATGGAGCTAAGGCAAAGTTGGAACAAATAATCATCAACAAATAATTATTCCCCAAGTTAATGGGAAATTTATGAATTGTGAAGACATCTGCCAATTACAGGCAAAATCATCAAGTTATACATTGAGCGAGGGTATGATAATAGCCAAAACTCTGTTCTGCTATTATTAAGGCTGTGGGTGACTACAGACTGGACTACTGGAATGACCAATGGGATGATGAATTATTCTCTTGGGAAGAACACTAGGCTAAGTAGTTTAGAGACATGGATGTTAATCCTCATCCTGCCACTAACTTGTTGTAACTGTGTGAGCCTTAAAACTGACCCAGAATTCAACTTTGTCTTCTGAAAAATGGGGGTGATAATATCATTATTTATTTATCGTTCAGGGTTTTTTTTTTGTAAGGATGAAAACTAAAAAATAATTAAAGTAGTTCAAATTGGATAGCATTTTACAGTTTACAAAGAGCTTGTAAACTCGTATTATATGAAGAGTAGTCCACACAGTCCAGGAGGACCTGGAGATATTTAGTCTAGCCATGATTATTGTCTTTGAGTATTTAAGGAGTTGTTGTGTGGAGGAGTTGAATTTATTCTTGGAGTCAGGGGTCAGAACTAGAACCAGTGGGTGGAAGTGACAAGAAGACAGATTTTAGCTTTATATAAGGGAGAACTTCCTGACAATTTAGAACTATTAAAAAAAATAGAATGTCTTAGGAGGATGGTCAACTACTGCTTGGATGAGCCCTTGGCAGGGATCTTGTGGGGAATCCACGCTCTAGGTTGGACTAGATGGTCCATGTGAACCTTCCGATGAAAATGCAATGATTCTGTGATGCAGAAGAAAGCATTTTGAGAAATAAAAACTTTATAAATACAAAGTAGTCATATGACTGCTGTCAATAATAGCAAACCCTCACTACATTTTCAGATGTGGCCACTATATGCATGTGTTTTTCTTGATTGCACTTATTTGTTATGAAGGAGAACTTTTTTTTTTTGAGGTAGAAGAGCTATAGTAGAGGAGAGGGGGTAGTGATAGTGATTCCAAAAGAAAAAAAGGATGTGAATGAAACATTTAGAAATATTCAGAAGAGAACAGAAGGAAGTTCAGAAAAGGACAAGGGCAAGGAGGATAGTATAGGGGGTATTGCATTTATATATGTATATATTTTTAAACTGCACATAATATTTTTGGTTTTATATACAATTCTCCATCCTTTGTATTTGGAAATGTTAGTGCTTGTCAAGTTCATAAAAATAAAGAAGAAAATTTAAAATAAAAATTCTATAAGAGTAATCATAGGAAACAATATGATAATCACCACCACCACTACCATCAATGATAATATTTTCACACTTTTTTCTGTTCCTTTCTTTTTTTAAATTTTCCCCCAATTACATGTAAAAACAATTTTTAACATTCATTTTTTAAAATTGAATTGCAAATTCTCTCTCTCCCTCCCCTCCTTCCTCATTGAGAAGGCAAGCAATTTGACACAGGTCATATATGTGCAGTAAAACCTATTTCCATATTAGTCATGTTATCTTCACACTCTTTTAAGCTGATCCTTTTCAAAGGAAGAGGAGTGGTTGATTTTGGGTTAAGCTTATTTTGGGTCCATAGCTTATTCAAACTTCAAATGCCCCAAAGCCCAAATGTGACAGACCTGTCAATGTTCTTGAAAATGTTGCATTTGTTGTCCTTGGCCGTGAGCTGGAAAGCCAGGGCAGTGTGGTGACTCTCCAGGACAGCTGTGTCATTGTAGAGCACAGCTAGCTCACTGCCTGCATTGCACAGGAAAGAGTTGGTCCGTCCAGGGTGATCCACGTCGTGGACAGTGGCTGCTATCAATGCAGCCACTTCATCCAGGTGATCCAGGCTTCCCTGGGGGTAAGAAACAGGGGATGACTCACCAAAGAACAAAGCCCACTCCCCGGGGGAAGAGGGCAGTTAGACATGTTGGTGATAATTTTTACCTTTTACCTCTGTGGAATCTCTACCTTTTACCTTTAACAGAGATATTCATAGGACTGTGAATTGGAAGGAACCTTAGAAGGTCATCTAAATGCAATCCCTTGTCTTTACCAATGAGAAAACAGGTCCAGCAGGGTTAAATAACTTGCCTGAGATCACACAGCTAGCAAATGCCAGAGGTGGGTAGATTTGAACCTGGGTTTTCCTATCCTGCTTTACTCACTAAATCATACTACTTCCCCAATCTACTATGTAAATTCAGGTCCAGTTAAGCATTACCTAAATGCAGATAATCCATCATGTGGATTATTTGAAGGAAAATTTTTGATTCCTGGATTACCCATAACTATCTTCTTCTAGAGATCAGGCCCTTTGTGTTTGCTGAATGAATGCAAAAGCAAATCCCACGGGGGTACCTTGCATGCACCTAGCATCCACTCCCACTACCTATCCACTATATATTCAGGAAACATAAAACATAATTGGGAAAGCGATCTCCTACAAGATAGCCATTTACGTTGCCCAGTTTCTTCCAAAAGTCAAACTCCTTTTTTTTTTTTTAATCATGGCTTGCTCTGAATGATCTCTATTCCTGCTCCTTCCCCTAGCAAGCAAGACGGAGAGTTCACTGTACGTGGATTTCCCTCTCTTACTGAGGGATACCCACCGTCCATGCAGCCTGCTTCCCAAATATGGCTCAGTCAGACAACGACAACAAAACACCACCACAGAAATCGTGACATTCCTTTAGCAGGGTGGTCTCATGACCCTGGCCAAAGCCAGGACAATAAGACTTTCCACACCGGCCGTGAGGTCTGGTCCGATTTCCTTGTTTCAGAAACTAAGTTAAAAGAACCAGAGGAAGATCTCCATCAAGTGGGGAGGAATCTCTACAGAGGCTTTAAAGGAATAGCATTAGAAGGAAGGGCACTGTCATTCTTTCAGTAACAATTTTGCACTTAAGAGTTTTGCAACCTTAGATTCATCCGCAACTCCCCACTATCTTTTCCTTCCCCCATATCCAACCAGTTGCTAAATCTTGTTGATTCTACCTCTTTTTTTTTTTTTTGGCAAGGCAATTGGGATTAAGTGACTTGCCCAAGGTCACACAGCTAGTGAATATCATTTGTCTGAGGCCAGATTTGACTCAGGTCCTCCTGACTCCAGGGCCGATGCTCTATCCACTGTGCCATCTAGCTGCCCCTGATTGTACCTCTTCATCTCTTATATCCTCCCCATTTCTGCTTTCCCTTCTCTAATCCATTATCCAAAGAGCTGCCAAAGGGATATTCCTAAAGCACAGGATGAACCATGTCACTCCCCGGCTCAATAAACTTCAGTGGCTCCTTATTCTCTCTCTCTCTCTCAGGAAGTGGGGTTAAGTGACTTGCCCAGGGTCACACAGCTACTAAGGGTCAGAGGCTGGATTTGAACTCAGGTCCTCCTGACTCCAGAGCTGGTGTTCTATCCACAATACCACCATATAGCTTTTTCTATCTTTCTTTTTTTCCCCTTATTATCTCTTCACAACTTTTTTTCCAACTTACTTTCCAGGTTTATTACACATTACCCCCCCTTCATATATACTATGGTCCAGCCATACTGGCCTTCCCATTGCTCTTCACATAAAACATTGTATCTTCTGTCTTTGTGGCTTTGCAGGTCCAAGGTGCTTCCCATGCCTGAAATCACTCCTTCCTCATTTCCACGTCTTAGAATCCAGTTAGTTTCCTTAAAAGTTCCGCTCAAATGCTCCCTATTAGATGAGGCATTTCCTGACTCCCCCAGGTGCTACTGCCTCTCCTTTCCCTCACCCCATTCCCCATACATCCTTACCTCTTTTTTTTACTTTGTAAATACAATTAAGTCTTGATTAGTGCAAATAATGAAGCCTCTGCAATGATCATATGTATTTGAATTCAAAGTTGTAATTACATAAAATATGGTAATTGATTATAGTACAATGGAGATACAGAGTACAAATTTGAATGATGCACTGGCATATGGTTTTGGTATATAGTTTTGTTTACATCTGCTGTCTATCCTGCCAGAGTGTAAGCCCTTCAAAGATAGGGACTATTTCATTTTTCTTTTTGTACCCCCAACATCTAGTACAGCACCAGGTACATCATAGGTACTTAATAAAAGATTGATGGATGTGTGATTTATTGACACGGACAAGAATCACACATCTTGAGAAGAAATGGAAGGACTGTGACCTGTATTAGTGGAAGAATTGCTTACACTAATAAGATCAGAGACCCACTGAAATATCAAAATAAGTGGTATTTATTTCCAACCCTGGCAATGTAGAAGTGATTAGCAGTGCTAGACAGAAATACCAGCGTGAGAGATCAATACCTTCTACACTTGGAATCCTAGAATCCTAGAATCCTAGAATTTCAAGGTTGGATTAGAACGCAGAGGTCATCTGGTCCAACTCATACCTCAGTAGGAATTCCCCCTACAGTTTCTCTGACCACATACTCATCCAGTTTCCACTTGATGTCATTTACTCCCCCTCCTACAGAGGATTTTGCTTGGACCAAGGATGGATCTACCTGGCCCACTTCACACCTGGTTTAGCAGATGCCCAAGTCAGACATTTGGAAAACCACTGGCAGAGCTGAGGACAAAGCTTCATCAAGTCTAATTCTTCCAGGGCTAGGCTGACCCCAGCCTGCTAATGAAACCACCATGCCCAAATGAGGCACCAGGGGGAGCTCCCGCGATGCGCTCACTCTTCTTGGCATTTAGGACCAATCTGCTTAGAACTTCGGAACAAAACAGACTCGAGTAACTGAGGTGGGAAGCCAGAGTAAAGTGACAGGATCCAATGTTTTTCTTTACTAGACACCAACCAGAAACACGATGAAGACAGAACTTTGGTAAAGTTAAAACACTATGCTGGCTGCTCCAGAAATAATAATGCCCAGCTGGTCTGCAGCATACATTCTGAGACATTTTTTCATAGGCAGTGGGTGGGAGGTAGGGCACAGAAGGCAGGCTTATTTCACTAGCATCCTTAGTGTATGGAAAGCCTCTCTCGGAGCTCTAGGGAGGAAGTGACAGAGAGAGAAAACCCTTAAACCTCTAAGTGGATTCATTCTATCCTTGCCCCTTTGATGTGGAAAGCATCAAGGAAGGGGCAGAGCTGTGCCAAGGGCAGTCATACATGCCCTGCTCCTTGTCTGCTTTAAAAGTAGGAAATGAGTTTTGACCACATTGAGAGAAAGCTGGCAAGTCTTAGCCTTAAAAGTAGATTTTTCAGATAACCAATCACTTGTTTATGTAAATAGCTATTTTTATCACTTTAGCAGTAAAACAAAAACAAACAAAAAAAACCCCTAACCCCCCCCAACTGAACATAGTTATTTTTATATCTGCATAAGCTGCTGTGTTCCTTTGTTTGTTCTGCAAGGGGGTGACAGAAGTTAACAAGGGGGAAATGGCTCATAAATTCTGGTTGGTTGATAAGTTATGGTAAGGAATGCATATGCCAAATTTCTTAAGGAGCAGGTACTATTGAATTTTTTTTTGACCCTTTTATCCCTAGCACCTAGCATGGTACCTGGCACATAGGAGGCACTTAATAAATGCTTGCTGATTGTGTCACAATTGAATGACTGATAATGGAAATATTATATGAATTTCATTCTCAAGCCAGGAGGAAGGGAGGGTTAAATGGGGCCAAGCTTCCAGGCAGGACTCAGGAATGAACTTCCTGAATGTGCCTCTGTCAAATGTGGAAGGAGGCCAGTGGAATAATTTCTCATGGCTTCTGAGGCAGATCAGGAGAAGGCAAAGGGTTAGAGCAATATGGAATAAGGGCCTTGGCTGGGATTTAAGAAACCTGGCTGCATGACCTTGAGTAAGTCTTTTAATTTTTCTAGGCCTCCATTTCCTCATCTATAAAATGAGAGGGTTACAAATATGATCTCTAATCAATCAAAAAGATTTGTTAAGCACCTACTATGTGCCAGGCACTGTGCTAAGTGCTGGGGACACAAAGAGGCAAAAGACAGTCCCTGCCCTCAATGGATCGTCCAGCTCTACATCCTAACGTGCCATGGTCACAGCTTGTCAGAGACTTTGAAAGCCTTTGAAAGTATAAGTATAGTTCACTTTAGGCCACAGATGTGTTACTATAAAACTATTTGTAAACTAGATTTTTGGAAATTGCATACACCTTTGAATGCATGAATAACTTAAAAGATTATTTCTTGTTGAATCTTTTCATAAAATAAGTAACTATCTCTCCCTCTCTCTTCTTTCTCATGCTCATTTATCTCGTTTGTAAATCTGGATTTTCATTGCTTGGCTTTGCTTAGACTAAGGCACATCGAAGTTATTTCTCAAAGGCTGGGAATAGCTAATTCTATACCTATCCTCACTGGATCAGGACTAATTACTTGCATTCCGTTTTCATCTAGCAACACGTAACCTGCTTAATCCCTCTCTCTCTGTCTCTATACTCTCAAAACTTTAGCTCATGAGCCCCTATCAGTACGTTTATCTTCTCTCTGGTTAGCCAGAAAAAAAATTAGCTCAAGTCAAAAACATTTGTTGAAATAGTGTAATAAGAAGCAACTAGCAACAAAATATCTCTCCCATAAACCTGAAGCACACTCTTCTACAAAGACATATGTGATTGTGAGAAGAGTGAATGCACAGAGAGTTCACAAGTGGAGAGGCACACCCAGAGGGAACATATGTGGCCAAGGTAAATTTTACCTCCAGTACCTCCAGGAAGGAAGGAAAGAAACAAGCATTTATTAAGTACCTACATCTCATTTGATCCTCACAATAATACTGGAAAGTTGTTGTTGCCATTATTGTCCCTGTAGCTGAGGCAGGCAGCAATTTAAGTGTCTTGCCCAGAGTAACATTGCTTGTAAGTGTCTAAAGCCATATTTGAACTCGGGTCTTCCTGACGCCAGAGCCAGCACCCCGTCCTCTGGGCCACCTTGATGCCTCTCCCGTCTGTTGTTATAAAGTCTTCATGATTCTTTTGGCAGAAGACTGAGAGGCTCTTCTGGGCCAACTCCTGGGCAGGGCACAGAGCTCCAGTGCTTGGCTGTGATCTCTGGCTTCAAGCTCAGTTGAAATCCTGGCCAAAGGTGCTGTTATATTTTTTAAAAGAACCAGAAACCGTATCTTATGACCAACAGATGCTTGGCTACAACCTCTACTATCTGAAATCTTAGCCTAGGGTACTACTGTACTCTTGATAAGAAGTAGAACCCATACCCTAGGACCAGCAGGAGTCTCAGCCGAATCGTCCCATTTCCTGAGCAAGATTCCAGCTGTAAGCAGCAGTCTTGACTGCTCTGTGCTCTGTCATCTCTGTGGCTGGACACTCTGCTCTATTGCACGCTGCTTCATGTGTCTGCTACAAGGAGGAGGAGAGGGAAATCCTTCTCTTCCCACCTTGCTGAACTTTACCAATGCTCTCTGCCACTCCACTGGACACCACCATGTCCTGCTGGAAGATACCACTGCAGATCAATACCTTCCCCTTCTCCCTGCCCCCCCCTCCCACCCCCGGAGGTACAAAGGAAAAGGTAAAGAGTGAACTCAGGAACTGAAATTTTTCTCCATAGCTAATTCTCTTCTCAACTATATGATTATGAAGTCAGGCTGGTTCTGCTTTTAAACTCTCAGTCATTTACCCAAGGAATCCTAAACTACCTCCCTGATTCTTTTATATGCAAATGAGTCACTCATAGTCTGAGGGGAGAGGCCACCTTTGTTTCTGTTACCTGAGCCTTACATTCTGTTGTTTCATCTAGTGGATTAAGAGCACTCAAATCATCCAGAGTGCCCAGATCAATTTGCCTAATTACATACACACACACACACACACACACACACACACATATATATATATGCACACACACACACACACACACACACATACACACATACATAGACACATCGATCTATCTAGAAGTCTATGCTTATATTGATATATACATATATATATACATATGTGTGTATATATCTACACACATGCTATTGCTGTTGTTGTTCATACTTCATTCTTGAAGAGGACCATGACATCAGAGAGGTGATACCATGACTTGCACATGAATTGGATTTAAGTGAGGGAGGGCTGTGCAAAGCCACCAGCCTCATTCTCTCCTTTGGAGCCATCTGGATCCAGTGGCAAGATAAAGATCAGAACAACTGGAGATGCTCCCCCATACACGCACATATACGTATACACATATATGCACACACACATTCAACACGTATGGATGTGCCTTTTCACGTGCCTAGAATGCACTTCCTCTTTACCTCCACCTTACAGACTCCCTCAATTCCTTTATCATATAGCTCACACACCATCTTCTGCACGAAGTCTTTCCTTTTTTTAAAATTTTTTTTATTTTATTATTTTTTTTTGCATGAAGCCTTTCCTGATTCTGTCAACTGCTAGTACATCCCCATTTAACTTCTCTGTATATATTTGGATTTATTCACTTTCTAGTTCTGATGTACAGATATAGATGTAGATATAGACTTGCCCCCCCTTTCAAGTAGGCATTGTTTCTTCTTTTGGTACTTGTATCCCCAGTACCTGGTATCATAGGAGCTTGATAAAAATTGGTTGACTGATTCATTGATTAATTGGTACTCTGTACTAGGCACTAAGGGCATCTAAGTGGCACAGTGGATAGAGAGCCAGGCCTGGAGTCAGGAAGACCTGAGTTCAAATCCAGCCTGAGATACTAGCTGTGCAAGCTTGGGCAAGTCTCTCAACCCTGTTTGCCTCAGTTTCCTCATCTGTAAAATGAAATGGAGAAGGAAATGGCAAACCACTCCAGTATCTTTGCCAAGAAAATCCAAAATGGGGTCCTGAAGAGTCAGTCTCAATTGAAACAACAACATCTGGGCACTAAGGATATAAAGACAAAAAGGAAAAACTGCCTCTGCCTTCACCGGTTCTACTGAGGCAGTGAGTGGTACAGTGGATACAGTATTGGACCTGGAGTGAGGAAGACTTGAGTTCAAATGCGGCTTCGGTTACTAGCCATGTGAACCTGGGCATGTCTCTGAACCTCTCCCAGCCTCAGTTTCCTCAAATATAAAATGGTGATCACAATATCACTTTGCCTGCTTCCCAGGGTTTTGAGGAGGATAAAATGAGACACTTTGCAAACCTTAAAGCCTTATATAGATGCTAGCCATTAACTATCACTGAGAGCCATTGAATATAAATAGATAAGTAAATACAAGATAATAGGATAGAAAAGAGAGCACTTAAAAACCCAGGGGATCAAGAAAAACTGCCCAGGGGACAAGGCACCCGAGCTGAGCCTTGAAAAAGCTAAGGATTCTAAGAAGCCGAGGTGAAGAGGTACAAGTACATAGGAGGGTTTTATGTGTTTATAATTTATGAATAATTATATATATATTTATATATTTATAGAATCTATAAAATTGAATCTATACAAATATAGTAAAACACTGAGTTACTTGCTACTACATGGCTTTGAATACTGTTGTTGTTGTTGAATCATTTAAGTCATGTCTAACCCCATTTGGGGTTTTCTTGGCAGAGATACTGGAGTGGTTTGCTATTCCCTTCTCCAGATCATTTTACAGATAAGAAAACTGAGGCAACCAGGGTTAAGTGATGTGCTCAGGTCACCCAGCTAGTAAATGTCTGAGGCTGGATTTGAACTCATGAAGATGAGTTCCTGATTTCAAGACCAGTGCTCTATCCACTGTGCCGCCTAGCTGCCCTTTGGGTCAAATACCTCCAGAAGAAAGTAAGCTCCTTGAGGGTAGTTTGTCTCATTTTCTCTTTATGCCTGTCACTTAGCACAGAGCCTGGTATGAAGTAGTTTCTTAACAAATATTTGTTAATTAAATTGAATTGAAATTATGTCTCCTGAAACTGCACACATACAATAATAACTTGGCACAGCATTAGTAGTCTGATCCTCCAACACCAACGCTATAAATGTATCTGATGAATATTGGTTGTGTACACATGCATCAGCCACAGAGGCAGAGGTTGTTTGAAATGTATAGATTAATTTACTCACGTGTGAAAGGCAGAAAGAAATCGCATCACCAAAACCAACTGAGTTTCTAAAAAAATCAGTCAAACCCTGTATTGAGCACTATTTAGACACAGTCACTATCTACTATGGGGGAACAAAGGAGGAAGAGAAAGAATGAAAGGAAAAGTGATGAGAGAAAAGTGTATATGAGAAGGACAGGCCAACAGAAGAGGGTAACCTGTGTTCATAACAGTTTGTAAGACCCTCAGTGTTACAGGTTTGCAAAAATTTGTGGAAGGTGGTAAAAATGAGGGCAGGATAGTGGTTTTTTTTGTGGGGGATGACTCTAACTACAAGTCTGACGTACTTTATAATATAATAAAATATAAAATAATATACCATAACATACTATACTAGAATATATAATAATATAACATACCATATCATAATATAATATAACAATATAAAATAGATAATATGTACATAGATGGTTAATTTTAATACAATTTTAACTCATACTAGCTGTTTGACCCTTGGCAAGTTATTTAACTTCTCTTTGCCTCAGTTTCCTAATTGTAAAATGGGGATAATAACAACGCCTACCTCACAGAGTTTTTGTGAGGATCAAATCAAATAATATTTTTGTTTTATTTTTATTTTTAGTATATGTATTTTATTTTTAAAATTTTATTCATTTTATTTTTAATTTATGGGATAAAACAAGCATTTCCATAATATAGTATAATACAAAGATGATTGTACATGAAATATCAAATCTGTTATAAACAACTTGCTATTCTTTTTAAATATATAACAATACAGTTATCATGTAAGTTTCTTTTTTTCTTTTTTTTCCCTGGTTCCCCCAGAGATGGCTACCATTAGATACAAATGTGTGTGTGTGTATGTGTGTGTGTGTGTGTGTGTGTAAAATCATTCTACACATATCTCTATTTATCACTACTTTATCTGGATGTAGATAGCATCTTCCTTCATATGTCCTTTGTTGTGAATTTGGGCATTTATAATAGTCAAGATGACTTATTCACTCAGAGTTGTTCTTAAAACAATATTGCTGTTACTGATACAATGTTTTCTTGGTTCTGCTCATTTTGCTCTTCATTATTTTTAAAAAGCACTTAAGTATAGTGCCAGGCACACAATAGGGACTAAATAAATGCTTATTCCCTTCCCCCAACTTCTATAAGCACAAGTAGCTAATTTAGTAAACTGTTGGCAAAATGAAACATAGTTAAATCCCTGCTGATAGTAAAATAGTCTCTCTCAGAAGTTAAGACAGAGTATGTATACATATATACATACATATATATGTATATGTATGCATATATACATATACATATATATGTCCAGGAATAACCATGGAGGTCATCCTATGACAGTTTTACCTTCACTCTCTCTTTTCCAAGGAAGAATGCTGTTGCATGTAGGACATCTGCGGCATGGGTGGAATTGTGGTATGAGTTTGATGAGTGGTAGTTGGCTTCGATCACCTGCAGCCAGGCCCGAAGAGTGGCTTCTGAACAGTTCAAAAACTCACAGACCCCAAAGCGGGCAAAGACTTTTAACCCCAGGTAAACCAACGGTCTGGAGAAGTTAGATTAAAAAAAAAATCTGCTCATTTCATTCCTTTGCCAAGCTCTTATTCTCTTCCACTGATAAGGAAAGGACAATGACATTTTTCTGTTTCCCCAACAGCCCACTCCCACCCCAACCCACTGCCAATTTCGTATGTCCAGGGGGTAAAAATAAATCTTTGGAAAATAAAAAGAACAGTGCCTCCTTAAATCTAGTACTGATTCCTGAACAGATGTGTTATGGCAGTCAACCCAAAACATTAGTAGGTTATCTCCAGTTCATCAGAAGCTTTAATAACTGTGACAAATGGCAAGTCTTTGGATTTCTCTCCTTGTTCTCTCCCTGATCTGTACATCAAAAGTGCTTGCAAACAAAGACAATGATAGATCTGAGATCGCATACAATTTAGAGTTACTAGATTCCAAAATTATTTTTCAGCGGCTTTAACAAAATGCCCATGAGACCCAGCCCGACACCTTTGGGGAGGAATATTCCTTTCACAGGATCCTTGGGCTAGAAAGTGATCTTGAGAGGCATTTCACCCTTCTCTTGGCTTTCAGGTGTGACCACGTGTAAGCCATCCCACTCAAATCAAAAGCTATTTTCTTGCTCCTTGAGCCCATAAATTCAGTTAATTCATCTGTTGCTTTAACAAATTTGGAACTTAGCTCAGTCCTGATATTTATACCTGCCTGGTGCATTTCTGGTACACCGGCAGTAATAAATTATCCTAGGAGATCTTGGAATGAAATTTAGTTGCATTACTTCATTCTTGAGTTCCAATCAACCTTATCCCATGCTGGGTCCCCTAGGGTTATTTCTCCACAAAGGGTCATGCCCAATGACAAAGTATATATGCTCATTTTATGCCTCCTCTCAATCTCTGCTGAAAAGGCAAAGGCACTGAAGCCTGACTTTACCTCTTGAACTCCCAAATTTAAAACTAGGGGAACCTGCACCTCCAGCCCCTGCCCCTACATGTGCCCAAAGGAGCCCAGTACCTTTTATGTGTGACGGCTTCTAATTCAAAGATGTTGAAGTCCCAGCTTTCTTCATTATCAAGTAATTGTGCAATACAAGGTGGAACATCATTGATTGTGATTGGCAGTGAAAGATGACTGTGACTGTGGTGCATGTCTGCAGAAATAATTTAACTGAATTTAGCAAACACATATTTAACATCTACTACCCATCAGGGTGAACACTGAGCTGGGTGCTGGAAATACAAAGACAAAAATACAACAGTCCTTGGCCTTGAGGAGCTTCTATCTGACTTGGGGGGAGAGGTGAATGGAAGGATGGGAGGGAAGACAACATATACACAGGTGAGTAGATGCAAGATATATACAAAGTAATTTTGGGAAGTGGAGGGAAGACTGAGTATCAAAGGCTATCAACAGAGACCTCATGGAGGAAGTAGTACATCAGCTAAGCCTTGGAAGGAGCTAAGGTGTTTCCAGCTATGTGTTGTTCTGTCATTTCAGTCACGTCTGACTCTTTGTGACCCCATTCGGGGTTTTCTTGGCAAAGACACTGGAGTGGTTTGCCATTTCCTTCTCTAGCTCATTTTACAGATGAGGAAACTGAGGCAAACAAGATTAAGTGACTTGCCCAGGGTCACACAGTTAGTAAGTGTCTGAGGCCAGATTTGAATTCAGGTTCCCTAACTCTATCTCCTGCACCACCTAGCTGCCCAGGTCTCCAGGTATGGTCGATAGCAAAGGCAAAAAAGGAGATAGAATGACATGTATGGGAAAAAGCAAGTAGGTCGCTTTGGCTGGAAGTATAGTGTATAATGAAGGGTAGCAATGTGAAATTAGTCTAGAAAGATAGTTGGAGCCAGATTGTGAAAGACGTGAAATGCCAAAGAGGTTTTGGATCTTATTCCAGAGAAAACTTCCATTGAAGTTTTTCCGAGCGGGAGAATGACACAGTCATACTGATGCTTTAGGAAAATCACTTGGGCATCTGTGGAAGATGTACTAGAAAGGGGAGAGACCAGAGCCAGTAAGACCTCGTAAAAGATTTCTGCCACAGTCTAGGTGAAAGGTGATGAGAACCTGAATGAGAATCATGGCCTTAAGAGTGGAGATAGATGGGGGAGGACGGAAAGGGAATGTTCATTATGGACTTAGAACCTGATAGAGGGTCACAGAGTATTTAATCACTTTTATTATCTCCAATTAAAAAAAAAGCCTCAGGATGCCCAAAATAGGAAATTTTAATTTCAGGAACTCCTTTTCCATATTATTAAGCTGTGATATTTAAAGCATCTAGGTCAGCCTAGCTGACTTATTAAATCCATATAACAAATAGAAATTTGTCCTTTCTTGGATTTGTAATTTTGACATTTTTCAGATCAATGATTTTAATTAGAAGGCCCAGTTATGAACCAAGGACAGAGAGATGGTTCTAACACATGCTCAACTGGGATGAAGTAAAAAGTCATTCTAATTTATTCATCTTAAAAAGTAGAACCCTGACTAAATGACCTATAGTAAACTATAAACTGAACAAAACCTCTTCTTTTCTAATCAGGTGAGAGGTGGAAATCCTAGACTTTTTTATACAAGCTGAAATGTTACTAGGACTCATGAAAAAATGCAAAAGCACCTGAAAAATATCTGCAGAATTTTGAAAATTATTGATGGCACATCTATGTTTCATGACTTAACAATTGGAAAAGGATCAGTTCATCCTTCTCTATTAGATAAATCAATACAAATAATAAGTCCTACATGGTAGGTTGGCACATGACCTGAAGGAAGTTGGAAATATCAAGTGAAATGAGGCACAAGTTAGATGAAACTTACTCTTAGAAAACACGTACTCATTCCCTGACAACCTTCTTAAGCCATCCTGAAATAAAGAAAGATGCTGTAAGTAGTAGGAATTTACTGACCAAGTATTCTTGTTAACAGACTGCTTTTCTTCTAGGCTATCTCTCCTCCCTCAACACTCCAACCTAGAGCACTTGGTGCCTTCCAAGGAATAAAGCACTTCCAAACAAAGGGGTCAGGACTGGATCAGAACAATAGCCAGAGGATGGTCAGAGGCAACAGCCCTTAGCCTATTAACTTGAGGAACTGAACTAAAAATAAATAAAATCAAGATAACTATGCAATCAAAATAGCACCTTAATTTTATCATTGAAAACACTTTCTCTACTGATGCAGAATGAAAGTCGTCCATACCATCTCATTATCTTCAACTTTTGTTCATATTTCTCCATAAATCCTCCAAAGTTCCTCTATCCAAAACAGTGGAGGCCTCTTACTTTTATTCTCCATATTATGGCAATTTCCAGGATACTCCTTGAGCTGCCCCCTGTTGCTTTTTCTCAGATTCTCACTACAATGCTTTGTAAATCTTAAATCACAACTTAAATGTGATTCTTATTCTTTATTAAGTTTCTTTCTCTTTTTTATTTTAGGCAATCAGGGTTAAATGACTTGCCCAGGGTCACATAGCTGATAAGTGTCTAAAGCCAGATTTGAACTCAGGTCCTCGTGCCTCCAGGGTCAGTGCTCTATCCACTGTGTCACCTAGCTGCTCCACTTATTTTCTTATTACATAACCAACCCACATCATTAACCAGTCACATATGCCCTCAATAATATCATTGCCTTCTCCTTGTACACAAGTCATTATTGCTACCATGCTACTATATAAAAATAATAATAAAATAATGGTAGCAATAATAATAACCACATATTACAAATATCACTCGTATATAATGGGTCAGTTGTTTTTCCAACGAGATATTTCACATTGTCTTCTATTTTTTCATTCTTTTTGTTTTGTTTTAGAATTCCTTGATTTCTCATAAAGTCACTAGCTTCCATTTGCTCCATTCTAATTTTTAAGGAAGTATTTTCTTCAGTAATCTTTTGGACTTCCTTTTCCATTTGTCCAATTCTGCTTTTTAGGGAATTCTTCTTTTCATTGGCTTTTTGGACCTCTTTTGCCATTTGGGTTAGACTATTTTTTAAGGTGTTATTTTCTTCAGTATTTTTTTGGGCCTCCTTTAGCAAGCTGTTAACTTGCTTTTCATGATTTTCTTGCATCACTCTCATTTCTCTTCCCAGTTTTTCCTCTACTTCTCTTACTTGCTTCTCAAAATCCCTTTTGAGCTCTTCCAAGGCCTGGGACTGACTCATATTTTTCTTGGAGGCTTTGAATGTAGGAGCTTTGATTTTGTTATCTTCTTCTGGTTGAATGTTTTGATCTTCTTTGTCACCAAAGTAAGATTCCAAGGTCTGAGTCTTTTTGCACTGTTTGCTCATGATCCCAGCCAATTACTTGAGTTATAAACTCTTTGTTAAGGTAGGGGTCTGCTTCCAGTGTGGAGGATGTACTGTCCCAAACTTCAGGGGTTTTGTGCAGCTATTTTCAGAGATACTTCTAGGGACCTGTAAATTTTCAGTTCTTCCAAGGTACTATGTTCAAGGGCGAGGTGTTTACTCCTTTCCTGGCCTGTGCTCTGGTCTATGAGTGACCACAAGCACTCTTTTCTGTCTTGGAACTATGAGGAGAATTACCTCTCCACAGCCACTACAAGCTCCACCATGCTAGCACTCCTCCTTGCCCCAGGACCACCACCCAGAACTGTGACCCAGATCTAAGCATGGGCAAAGCAAGAGATTCCTGCCTGAGCCCTGGCAAAGAGATCCCTGCAATCCCCCTCTGATCAGCCACTTGATTCCCCCTCAGTCTGTGGGCTGAGAGCTCTGGAAGCAGCCACCAACCCAGGGCCGCACTCGGGGACTGGGACCGGGACCGAGCTTCTCTCTCATCGCAGACACACACTTTTCCTACTGACTTACTAAGTTGTCTTTGGTGTTCATGGGTTGAGAAGTCTGGAAACCGCCAGAGCTGCCCATGATTCAGTCCCCTGAGGCCTGCTCCAGGGTCACTGCAGCCTGCGCACCCACACCAAACTCTGCTCCTCTCCTAGCCCGGGGCGATATACCTTTCCGATCAGCCATCCAGGTTGTCTTGGGCTGGAAATTTGTTTCACTCTGTCTTTTTGTGGGTTCTGCTGCTCTAGAATTTGTTTAGAGCCATTTTTTACAGGTATTTGGAGGGGGTTGGGGGAGAGCTCAAAACAGTCACTGCTTTTACTCCACCATCTTGGCTCTGCCCCCTCCCCCACACTCCTATATAAGGGGAAAGGGGAAGGAAGTAGCATTTTTATAGCACCTACTATGTGCCAATCACTATGCAAAGCTTTTTTTTTTCTTTTTTACAAATACTATCTCATTTGATCCTCATAACAACCCTGCGAGATAGATACTATTATTATTGTCATTTTACAGTGGAGGAAATTGAGGCAAAAAGAGGTTAAATGACTTGCCCAGGGTCACATTGCTAATAAGTGTTTGAGGATGGATTTGAACTTAGGTCTTCCTGTCTCCAGGCCTGGTGTCCATTGCAGCACTAGTTGCCTACAATAATGGTAACAATTACTGAGATATTTATAATGCTATAAAGTTTGCAAATTGCACCAGTTTGTTTTTGACAAAATTTGCCTTGGTGAAGTTTGTTTTTTTCTCCAAAAATATGATTTTCCATTATTACTCACAGTCATCAGCCCTCCAACTAGATCACTAGTGTGGGGATCTTCATCTTTAGTGCCCAGTTGAGGAGAGTAGAGTTCTGTGGTTCGTAAAATTTCCAAAACTCTGTCCAAGGCTTCTGCTACAGTTACTGGGCTATTCTCTTGGGCAGCGTTGATTATATTAATGACCTGGATAGAGGAAGAAGAGAGGGAGAAGGAGGGAGAAGGAGAGAGAGTGGGAGAGAGAAAGAAAGAAGTAGAAAGATAAAGAGAGAGAGAGAGAGAGAGAGAGAGACAGAGAGACAGAGAGGTAGAGAGAATATAGATTAATTACGTAGACATCCAGATCTTGGCAAAAGTGTATATTTCCCTGAAATTATTGTACATTCGCTCCTGGGCCTAAATGAAATTACCTTTCTTCCTCAATTCATTCCTCAATGGTCAACATATTACCACTTGATCATATTCTTCCCCATCACAGAGATTCTGAACCCCTGGCTGTCACTGTATAAACCCCATTCTAAATTTGCTCTCTTATACCCATCCTCCTCAACCTTGACCCTCTCTCATCAATGTACCACTCCAGAGCTACCCATCCATTACACTGTAGTGTCTCTAATGCCAGCTCCCTGGTTAACAAACTTGCTTTCATCTTCAACCTTTTCCTTTTTTCACTCCTTCCACCTTCTGTCACTCGCGGAGACGTGGCTCCATCCTATTGGCCACCCTTTTTGGTACTCACTGATCATAACAGAGAAGTTACTACTCTTTGCTCCCCATTGTCACTTCCAGATCCCTCTACCAGCACACTTAGCATTTCTTCTTCCTTGAAGTTCATTCAATTCATATTTATGGCCCAATCAAGATGCTGCTAACTATCTACTGATTCCTAAGATACTCTCCTTCCTCAATGAGTTCAGTGTCTAGGTCATCGAACTTTCCCTCCACTCCAAGTTCTGCCCTCAAACTATGGGGCTCCATTATAGGTAATAATACTCCTTCAAATGCTCTTAACTTCCCAGTTCCTCCATCTACCTATTTCCCATGTCCAACTCTTCATTCCACCTCAGCAGCTACACAATAGTTATAACCTTGATCTGCTATCATTCTACTTCCATGTTCATGAACTCTGAAATTCTTTTATCTGACCTCAATCTATTATCATTCCATCTTTCCCTTTGCCTTACAGCCTCTTATCCTGTTCTTCATAACTCGTCACGACCTCCAATCCCTCACATCTCAATCATTTCCCAGGCCATCACTCCTTCACTGGCTGCACCCTCCTCTCTTCTCCATCTAGACTCCTTGGTGAGCCAGTTTACCTCTTCACTATCTTCTGCACTGGAGTGCTTTGCCCCCTTATCCTACTGTCATTGGTATGCCTTGTCAGCCTCAGACCTTGGATGCCTCCTGCCATCTGATGCTTTCCATCCTATTTTCACACTACTGATCAGAGCTAGAGAAAATCGCAAAACTGTGATAACTGGGTCCACTATAAATTTGTGTTATGTAATATCAACTAGGCCCTCATTGCAGCAAAACACTCATTTTATATCTTCCTAATTGATTTACTACACCACTGGTCACAGGGCTATTCCAAACATTTTCATTCTTCCTCAAACCTCCCATGCCATCCTTTTCCCCATCCTCTCAGCTAAGAACTCTCATACTTCACTGAAAAAAATGAGGCTGTGCTCCAAGAACACCCTCTTTTCATTTCATGTCAATCAGATGTCTTCCTTCACCACCTCCTTTTCTACCTCTATCTCACATAAAGAAATAGCCTTTGTCTTTGCCAAGGCAAACTCCTTCACATACACCTTTGATCCCAATTCATCCTATCTTCTTCAGCAGATTGTCCTCTCTATCATCCTCACTCTCACTAATCTTTAATCTCTATCTACTGGCTGCCTCCCTGCTGTGTACAAACAGGAGCATATCTCTACCATTAATTAAAAAAAAAACACTCACTTGATTCATCCATCCCCATCAACTATAATGCTAAATCTCTCCTCTTTTCTGACTAAACTCATTGAGAAAGTCATCAACAGTTGATACCTCTATATTCTTTCCTCTAAATCACTTCTTAACTCTCAAGTCTGACTTCTGACATTATGAAACTGAAACTTCTCTCTCCAGTTACCAATGATCTCTTTAATTGCCAAATCTAAGAGCCTTTTCTCAATCCTTTCCTTCTTGATTTCTTTGCAGCCTCTGATACAATCACTCCCTTCTTAATACTCTTTTCTCTTCATGTGTTTTATGATAATACTGTCTCCTGATTCTCCTCTCACCCATGTGACCACTCCTCAGTCTCCTTTGCTGGATCTTCATCCTAAGTCATGCCCACTAATCATGGGTCTTCCTCAAGGCTATGTTCTTGGCCCTATTCTCTTCTCCCTCTATACTATCTTACATTTAAAAAATATATTTTTAAAATTTATGGAATAAAACAAGTATTTCTATAACAGTATAATAAAAAAGAAGATTGCACATCAAACTGCAAATCTATTATGTACAACTTGCTATTCCTATTAAATATATAATAAAGTCATCATATAGATTTTTTTCCTTCCCTAGAAGGCAATAGCTACCATTAGACAGAAATATATATGTATGTATATATACATAGGTATATATACATATACATATACATACATGTATGTATATATACACATACACATATACATATATATGTATATATGTGTATACATACACACATATACATATATATGTAAAATTATTCTATACACACTTCTATTTATCAGTTCTGGATGCAGATAGTGTCTTTCTTCACATGTCCTTTAGAGTTAATTTGTGTATATATAATAGTCAAAATGACTTAGTCACTCAAAGCCATTCTTAAAACAATATTGCTGTTACTGTATGCAATGTTCTCTTGGTTCTGCTCATTTCACTCTTCATTATTTCGTTCAAGTCTTTCCATGTTTTTCTAAGATCATTGAGCTTTTTATAGGCAGTAGCTTACTTTTAAAAAGTAATTAAAAAAATTTTCCCTTCTTACATGTAGACACAATCTTTAACATTCATTTTTTAAAAATTTTGAGTTCCAAATTTTCTCTCTCCTTCCCTCACCTCCCCTCTCCCTGAAATGGTAAGCAATTTGATATAGGTTGTACATGGCCAATCATGCAAAACATATTACCATATCATATACTTAGTGAGCTTATCAATTCCCTTATTTTAAATTATCATCTTTATGCTGATGATCCCCAAATCTATTTATTCTGCCCTATCCTCTCTCTTGACCTTCAGTATCGCCATCTTCTAAATGGATGTCTTAAACTGATGTTCCATGTATATCTTAAACTCAACCTGTCTAAAATTGAACTCATTATCTTTCCCCCCAAACTCTCCCCTCTTGTGAGCTTCTCTATCATGGTCAAGGACACCACCATCCTCCCAGCCACTCAGGCTTGTAACCTAGGTATCATCTTCAACACCTTGCTCACACTTACCCCATATATCCAATCTCTTGCCCAGGTCTATGAATCCTACCTTCACAACATCTCTCATGTACATATCTTTCTCTCCTCTGACACAGTACAGACCCTCATCACTTCTCCCTAGGACTATTGTAAATGCCTCTACTTACATCCCTTTCCACTCTAGACCACCCTCTTTGCAGCTGCCAAATTGATCTTCCAAGTATTTTTCTGATCACATCACTCTTCTCCTCAAATGCCAATTGCTCTCTGTTACCTCCAGGATCAACTAGAAAATCCTCTCCTTGGCTTTTAAAGCCCTTATACAATATGGCCTTTTTCTACTTTCCCAGCCTTCTTATATTTTAATCCCCTTCAAGTACTCTATAATCCAGCAACACTGGTGTTCTTGCTGTTCCTCATACAGCCAGTTCTCATTTGATGTTCTGTTAACCTCTCCTCCCTCTCCTCGGGCTCTGTATGGCTCCATGCCCTCCAAGGTTCTGTGGCCTGTGGCCCTGCAGTCCAGTGGCTTCAGTGCTTGGGCCAACCCTCCTCCTCCACAGAGTGGAGGACCTCTAGCATGGGATACAGCTGCAGTGATACCTCTGCCACTCCCTTCCAAGAGCCAGAGGCAGACCCAGATCTGTGGTGTCCTGCCACAAAACAGGAATTTACGTAAAATGAGAACTCTCTGCCTCTGAGATTCCTTCTGACTCCAGGTCTTTCCACTAGCTGTCCCTTACATGTGAATGCTCTCTCTTCTTGTCTCGGCCTCTGGCTTCCATCAAGACTCAGTGATGTCACGGTCCTCTTTGAGAACAAAGGACAAATACACCCTGTCAGTAGTCCAAGCTGCCTGAATGGGGACCCAACGGGCCAGTTCCAGTTGGGTAACTCACCTCATCCTCTCCTCACCTTATCTTTTCCTCTTCTCTCCTCTCCTCTTCCCTTACCTGAGGGTGTTCTGCCCAAAGGAAGGTAAATTTTGATGGCCAAAAGCTGCCTACTTAACTTGGGGTTTACTGGTTGGACTTCTCTCTCAAAGACCAAGTCTTAAACCCAATTCACTCATAGATTGGACAATAGGTCCCTGCCCAAGCACCACTTAATAGTTATTTTTTGGACCCTTCTGGCTCAGAGTGAATGTAAATAGTAACTATTTCTCTTTTGGCCAGCAACCCTGAAGGTCTTACCCTCCCAGCTTTATTTATTTATTTATTCATTCATTCATTCATTCATTCATTCATTCATTTATTTATTTATTGAAAGGGGCCATCCCTTGACTCATTTCTTAAAGAGGTTTATTCACTGAATGGACGTTGCTTCACTCAAAGTGAGAACCTGAAAAGACCTTAGCTTAAAAGGCCAGGGTCTCCCATTGCATCCTGAGCTATCTCTGGTAGTCCCGATGAATATCTGGCCACTGGACCCAGATGGCTCTGGAGGAGAAAGCAAGGCTGGGGACCTTGCATAGCTCTCCCTCCCTCAAAACAAAATCAATTGCAAGTCATATCATTATCTCCCCAATGTCGTGGTCCTCTTCGAGAACAAAAGACAAACACAACATCCCTACAAGAGGTCTTTCCTATCCCCCCAGTTCCATCTAGTTTTATCCCTCTGAGATTGCCTCCAATTTATCCTCTGTATATATTTTATCTACAGAGTTGTTTGCCTATTATCTTCCTCATTAGAATATGAAATCCTTGGGGACAGTGTTTTTGGCTTTTTATGTATCCCCAGTATTTAGCACAGTACCTGGCACAGGGTGAGAATTTAATACTTGTTGGCTGTCTGATTGATTGACATTTCTAAATGCTTTTAAATAGTTTATTTAAAAAGTCCAGTATCAATAGGAAAAAGATTGGTATTACCTCAAGTTTTTTAGGATATTTTTGGGGCCAGATCTGTGATTTCATTGGTCCAGGGAGCTCCTGGTGAGGTACTCCCTCTACAAATGAAGACTGGCACCATTTCTTCAGAGGGAGGACTTAGAAAATTTCCCAGAGGTAATGAGGGGTTACAGCCAGTACTTATCAGAGGGGAGACTTTATTCCAGGTCTTCCAGACTCCAAGGATCATTCTCCATTCACTACATCCTGATGTTTCCTACCCTAGGTTTTCACACACACACACACACACACACACACACACATATACACATGTGTATATATGCACACATGTATATGTTTATATGTTTGTGTATATGTATACACATATAAACATACATACACACAGAGACAAGATAGACAATTGTTTCTGCTTAAAAACCAGGAAGAGCCATAGCTTTTTACCTTTGTGATCGGAGCTTCAATGGTCATGGAGTGGATCCTTGCCATAGAAGGATAACGACGATTCTGCAAGCTTGGTGCTGTCAAGACAATATATGTGTCCCTTAGAACAATAGCACTCTGAAGGACACACCCTCAAAAGGACAAAAGGACTAAATGCTAGTGGCAGAAGCCAGCTGAAAGCTTCAGGCAGGAACTGTTTCTGATGAGGTCCCTTTGAGAACAGCTCAAAACCCAACTCTGCTTTCTGTGGGACCACCATACTACTCTTCAAAAAAGGATTGGATTCACTCATCGCTTATTCCAGAATAATGCCACCATTTGCACAAGCCCAGCCAAAGAAGACAAGATTTATGCAGGATGGATGATATTGGTAGAAGGACATCTGACATAATAGAACCACTAATGGGGCTACTTTTCAGGCAAGATAAGACAATAAAGATCCCATCCTGAAAGACTACTGTGCCACTGCTAAAGCTCCAGTTTGCACATGCTATAAACCTATTCAAATTTCAGCCTAGGGAGTGTTCCTCACAAGCAGATCTCTTCCCCAGTGTCAGTTTAAAGGTGTTCTTATACAATAAGGAAGGTCAGACCAAGATGGAGCATGAGACTGTCTATTAGGAGACCCGAGCCAATTCTTAGTTTCCTCAATATTGGACTTGACGTGTGAACTAGGGCCAGTTAGTTAATATTTCTGAACATCTCAACTTAGATCAATCTATAGCTTTATTAAGTATCTGCTTTGTGCCAGACACTGGAGATACAAAGACAAAAATGAGATAGCCCCTGCCCTCAAGGAACTTACCCTTCAAAACTCAGAGGGTCTAAAATCCTCATGTTCTCCCTAAAATCACCTCCTACTCCTACTTTCTTTCTTTCTTTCTCTTTCTTTCTTTTCCTTTCTTCCTTCCTCCCTTCCCTCCCTCCCTCCTTCCTTCCTTCCTCCCTCTGTCCTTCTCTCTCCCTCCCCTCTCCTTCCCTCTTTCTCTCTCTCTCTCTCTCTCCCTCCCTCTCCCTCTCTCCCCCTCCCTCTCCCTCTCCCTCTCCCTCTCCATAATTCTATCACACTGATAGAAGACAGTTGAACTAGGTCTAGTACTAAAGTCTCCTAACTTCTGACTTGGGTCTTTCTATCCAACCTCATGAATAACTTGCATTTACTAGTAGTAAAAACATGCTAAATTATAATCTTACTTATTGGAAGCTCTAATAACATGTGGCTTGACCTAAAGGAGAAATATATTCTTTTAATGTCCATTTCCTATCTATTTCACTTCAAGTGCTTGTTGGTTTAATAGAGGTGTCCAATGAAAAGCATCAATTAGTCCTCAAACACAGGGAGATAAACGTCTTGTCAGGTATTTGATTTCACAGTATCTTACAGGCACAACATCTATAAACAGTGATATGGAAAGAGATATTGAGAAAAGAGATGCTGATGAAATGTTGAGATGTTGAGAAAAGAGATATCAGGTAAAGGCAGAAAAAAGTTTTTTTTTTAAAAGTGTAACCTAATTAAAATCAATAAACAACATTATAAGGAAGAAATTATACTGAGGGTGTCTTTCATATGCTTATCCCTTTGAATCTAAGTTTACACAACAAAAAAACCCAAACCCAAAACATATATAGGAGTAAATATGATTTAGGCATGAATTAAATTGCCTTTGCAACTATGTTAATGAGATGAGTTCACAAAGGACTAATGATTTCATCCCCATATAGGCTGGGCTATGACCCTAGTATAAATCTATATATCTCTATCTCTATCTATCATCTCTCTCTCTCTCTCTCTCTCTCTCTATCTCTCTCACTTACTATAACACTAATAGATTTGTCCAAGGATTCAGTAGATTTGGCAGGTAGGTGGTGCAGTGGATGGAGTGCTGGGCCTGAAGTCAGGAAGACTCATCTTTCAGAGTTCAAATCCAGCTTCAGACATTTACTAGCTGTGTGACCCTGAGTAAGCCACTTAATCCTGTTTGCCTCAGTTTCCTCATCTGTCAAAGGAGCTAGAGAAGGAAATGGCAAACCACTCCATATCTTTGCCAAGAAAGGCCAAAATGGGGTCAGGAAGAGTTAGAAACAACTGAAAAATGACAAGAAGGATTCATATGTTAAGTAAAGTGCCCAGGGTTAAGTGGCAGAGGGAGAATTTGAATTTATGCCTCTCTTGACTTCGAGACCAGCACTCTATCCTCATCACCTATATAATTAGAAGAAAAATATTGTGAAACCTTATAAATTATTTTGTAAAAAATCCATTAAAATACATGTTTAGAAATATCCTGAAAGTCAGTTCTTATTTCCTTTGTTTTATTTTAGCTCTGTCTTATATGTTGATCAGTTGTCTTTCCATGATGTCTTCCCTATCCTATTTTCTGCAGTTAAAAAACAAATAAAAACACAAATTAGGAAGTTTTCTTACCATCACTACTTCGAGATGTTATTGATTTAACATCAATAGATTCTTTCCTCCTGTTCTTGTATCTAAATGAGTGAGACTCTATGAAAATCAAATTAGAAGAGAAGAATGATTAGTTTTCAGTGTATTCACATGTGAAATTTCACATATAGTCCTCTGAACACTTAAAAATTTGCCTCCTTTACTATAAAATACTATACCATACTACAAAATAATTTTAAGAAACAATAAAATATTTACTCTTCAAATAGTAACAAAGACACAAGATATTCTCGGGATTGTGATTTGTATAATGATACTATTATTTCTTCATACCTTATTAATGGAACTTATGATCAGAGAAATATTTGGTATGATTAGAATATTATTTTTTGAAAGTAAAAAATTCCATTGTAGGGGAATGCTTGTGATTTAAAAATGCTGTTAAAATGCTTAGAGCCAGTATATCTCCTTTCTTTATCTGGATGTTTGATTCTCAGTGAGGGCATCCTCTCCACTGGTCTGCATTGCCACCTGTCCACAATATCTCCCATATTATTCTTTTCCATATCTTTCCATAATCCTCCACAGGGACATCTACCCAGTATGTTAGAAGCCTTCTTTTGTTTTAAGAAAAAATTCTGTTCTAAGGATGCCAATGCTGCCTGTCAGGTGTTTCCACTTACTACCTACCGCCTCTTCTGCTTACATGTGATCTTAATTATGTCACCACAAGTATTTGTACTGCCACCATGCTTCTTTAGAGTTCCCTTTGGGTCATGTGCAATTTTGTTTAGATATTGCAGTGTCTCATGACTTATAGTCAGATAGCATTACCAAAAGAAAAATGGTGTTAAAGTGATAGGTTTTTGTGGGAGCCAAATGCCTAAAATCACTGAAAGCAATATATTAATTTCCCAAATTCAATCTCTCTCTCTTTTCCTTTTATTTAATTCAGAGCCCAGATTATTATCTATCTGTAGCACCTGTCCAAATATATATACTTTAATACTTTCATAAATCTATTATCTCATTGGTAGAGGTACTACCTTCAAGAGGGCAAACGGCAACTTATCCTCATCCTGTGTGTCTCTTTTAAATGGTCTCCCATAAAGCCTCCATAAAGGATGCTTTCAATGCACTGAAGGCCTTTTTCTAGGTCTTTTAACACTTTGAGGGTACCAAAGTAACATTCAGATTTTGCACTTTTTACCTATCACTTTCATTACATGCCCATTTCCATTTCTGCTTATATACTTTCTGGGTATCTTTTATGTTATTTCTTGACTGAGATCATCATTGGTAAAATGCTGCTTACTACATTTATACACACCATACATGCCTCCATTGACCATTGGGTCAATTATAGTTTGTAGAATTCCATGTTCTAAAGTCATATAACCCCACCAGAAATACATTGAGATTAAACTCTGGATTTGTATCTTAGGGAGAAAACTGAGTAGCAAAAATGCTACTCAACTTCCCGAATGCAATCCAGCCTGCTGTCTTCCTCTTATTCCTTTATGGATCCAGCTCATTGCCCATCTTAGTATTCATTTAAGATACATGTACTGAAGAACTGACTCATTTGGCTGTCTAATATATTCCATATTAGATGTAAGCAAAAGACATTTTTCATCCACTTTGTTTTTTCTGCTTGGATTGTTAGACTCTTTTGGGTAATTATGGATCTCATTAAGTAGGCTCTCTGATGCTCTGAAGTTGCTGTAGTCAGCACAAAGTCATTTACTAAAAGGGGCAAATGGTGGACTTCACTATCTATATGGAATTTGCTAATTTGCCACATGAAGTTCAAGAGTCTAATCTTTGAGCATGGCAGTTTATACTAAACACTGTAAAGGATGATAGTGGTTCATTTCCACTGGGTTACCTGCTATGGCTCACCAATGTATAAAATTTGTTACAATGTTCTCACCTGTCTGAGATTTGTCTCCTGAATCACGATGAATCTTGTGTATCTAAATTTGTTTAAAATCAAACAGGTTATTGAAAAGAAAAGAGACAGATTTCAAGTACTGTTTTAACTTTGTTCTTTTTTAAAAATTCCATTATTTCCAAAACCTTCCAAAGAAAGCTTTCTGAAAATGTACATTGACTTAGAGATGAAAAGAGGCAACAATGTAGAGTATTACAAATTTGATGGTATCTTTAGACACTCAAAGAATCACAGCAAAGGAAGTATCCCAAGAGGTCATTTAATCAAGCACCCACTGCCTCTGATAGAACACCTTAGTCATAGGAAATCTAGCACAGTTTTTAAAATCTCTCAGCAAAAAGTGATTCAGACTTTGTTGCTATAAATAAGTTTGAGTGTTTTAAGAGGGTGATATATTATTGTTGTATTCCTTTGGCTCCTATTTAATCAACGTATTGCTAAAAAAAAACACCCTGAAATATAGTATTGATATAAGTACAATTGTAGGGAATTTTTAAAAAAGCTTCTTTAAAGTACATTAGTTTCAATGATATGAACAGTCAGAAGACCCCCGATAAAAATTCTCCTCTATAGAGAGATTATTGGTACACAATGTTTCCTATGTTACCAGATGCAGTCACTTGATAGTTTGTGGTTTTACATAACTGATTATATTTGACACAAGAACAGGTCCTCTGTGTGGGTCTGTTGCAGTGGGAGATGGTTATTAGGAAGCGATTATGCTATCTTTTTTTTAAATCAATAAAACGTTTTTGTAAAAGCATATGGGAGTCAGCTGGTGAACTTTTTTCTTTGAAGAATGAGAGCTAGTGGATCACCTGACTGACAAGATGGTGAGATAAGCTGTTTTCAGCATAACTTCTGTACCCTACCAACCTCAAAACTATAGAAAATGCACTTAATTCACATTAATTAGAATGGAGGCAAAAAGATATCTGCATCTCCATACAAGATAACACCATCACCTTCTGAAATAACTGTGGAAGATCAAATTGCCTAAAGTTCCCACTCACTCACACCATTCCCATGTTGCCTGGGTGCTGCATGATGGAGACCCAGACAGCCTCACTTCCAGCTTTGGTGGTCCCTACCCTGGCTCCCCACGACAATGATTCAGGCTGAACCCAGCCTGTTTTAGAAGAGGCAGAAAACACTGACAGCCGCACAACAGAAAGAGGGCACAACTGTGGAAGGGGCGGAGTACAACCCTGAAAATCTAGCTCTCTCCCATCAGAATTCGCACATGGACCCAACTGTGTCTCCATGGTCCCTAAAAGGGAATAGCTGATTCTAGCTAGTCCCAGAGATTTGGGCAGGAGAACACATATGCAGCATATCTGTGGAAAGAGGAGGAGTTATATAGTGAGGAGGAAACTCTAACTACTGAGGATACAGGAAAAAGGCTAGAAGACAAAAGGGCCAGGAGAGAAAGGCAGAGCATAGAGGCCCAACTACTAAGTAGATAAACTTACAGTGAGATATTCTCTCTCTCTCTCTTTCTGTCTCTCTGTCTTTCTGTCTCTGTCTCTCTGTCTGTCTCTCTCTTTCCTTTCTCCTCTCTCTGTCTGTCTCTCTCTGTCTCTCTCTACACACACACACATACACACACAAATAAAAAAAAGGTACTCGTGAAAAAAGACAGCAAGACAATAAACATTTTGCATTTCCCAGAAATAACTGAATAACAGCAAGACGCTTTGGAATAGTACAAAAGAAAAATAAAATATTTTAAAGTAGAAATAAAAATGAAAATCATGTCAGAAATCAGAGCTGTCAAAGAAGAAACAAGACAATAAAACAGACAACTTGAGTACATTATGGAGAATCTTTTAAAATGAGAGGGTTTGAAAAAGATGGTAATAGATTTGGAACTCAAAAATTTAGAAGTGGTAGAAAATTTGGTAAAGGATATGTAAAATACAATTAAAAAAATCCATGAAACCAGATGTGGTCATTCACATCAGTCATCCCTTCTACTGGGGATGCTGAGCCTGGTGGATCACTTGAGCTCAGGAGTTTTGAGCTACATGAGGGCTGAAGCTGACCAGGTGCCTGCACTAAGTCCAGCACCAGTATGATAAGCCCCTCAGGAGCAGAGTCCACCAAGCTGCCTTACAAGAGGAGAATCAGAGACAGAAATGGAGCAGGCCTACGCTCCCATGCTAATGGAACACTTCCAACCTAGGTGAGATAGGGAGATTCAGTCTCAAAAACAAACAAACAAAAAACTATTTCTATATAGTCCCAAATGATTGACTTTGAAGACTGGATGGGCAGAGATAATTTAAATATTATATGTCACCATTGAAAAGCCTGAACACTATACTCTAGGAAAAAAATAATAAAACTGTCTAGAAGTGAAACAAACAGATGGGAAAGTATGATGGGTAGAATCAGGCAGTTCGCCATCTCAGAAAAGTCACAAGCTTGTAACTTCAAGGCATGTAGCAGTTATATCTCAGAATAGCTATAGAGGAAAGTAAAATTTGAATAGCCCTTTATGACCAGGCATCTATGCAAAATCTGAGAAAAGAATGAAACATCATATTCTACAAAAAAAAAAGGTGATCTGAATGTAACCCAAAACAAAATAGCCTACAAAACAGTCTACTCACCAATGGAAAAATATGGACATTTAATAACATGGAGAAATTAAGTCATTCCTCCAAAAGAAAACAGTGAGCTATTAACCTACAAACACTCCAAATAGAAAAAAAAAACATACCAGTATTTCTGGGATTTAGCTAAAGTGATCCTTGGAGGATAAACTATATTTCTGAAAATATGCACACATAATAATAATTATTAGAAAGAGATTAACTAATAAATCTATAATCAGCACAAAAGAAGATATTTTAAAAGTTAGGAAATCAATAAAATGAAAATAAAAGACTACAGAAATGATAAAAACTACAAGCTTATTTAAGACTAACAAATTTATAAAAACTTTGGCTAACTTGATTTAAAAAAGAGAGAAGAAAAAAAATCCAATGATCAAATTATAAAATGAACAAGGTGAATAAATAATGAATAGAGGACAAATAAAAAGAATGATTAGAAACTACTATCACCAGTTACATGCCAGCAAAACGGAGAATTAAAAGGAAATTGATGATTGTCTACAAAATAATATAAAAACAAAATTAAAAAATAGAAACATTAAACCACTAAATTTCAGAAAGAAACATTACATAAGCCACAAATGAACTACCAAAAGTAGGAGAAGCCTTGATTTAGGTAAATTCTATCAAATGATTAATGTATAATTAATTTTTATGTGTCAAAATTATTCTCAATACCCAAGGAAAAAGCATTTTATCCAACTCTTTTATGGCAACAAATATAGTCCTAATACATAACCATGGAAGGATAAAGCAGAGATAGAGAATTACAGACTAATATCACTAATGAATATTGATACAAATTTTAAAAATCAAAATCTATCAAAACAACTACAACAATATATATGAATGTGTGGATATGTCAATTATTCACTATAATCATTACTTCTAGACTTTAAACTGTATTATATTATAAAGCAGGAGTCATCAAAATAATTTGGTACTAGTTAAAAAAACAGAAAGGTTATCAGTGGAATAGATTAGAAAAGTAAGTATCAGAAACAATCTAACACTGTAGTTTAGTATCTGAGAAACCCAATAATATTTATGTGTCCCTATTCTATAATAACTAATGGGAAAATGCAATTTGTCAGAAAACAGCAGTTTAGACCAGTATACTACAATAAATTCCAAATAGATGCCTAACCTAAATATAAAAACTCACATCACAAAGAAAATTAGAGGAGAAAGGAGGGAGGCACTTTCACAACTATAGCTAGGGAGGAATTTTTAAAAAGTTATTGATATATTTTTCTCCTTTATGACACACATTTCTCAATGCATCTCTCTATTTTCCTCTCCCAAAGGTCCATTCCTCATTTTGTTGTTTAGTTGTTTCAGTTGCGTCTGACTTTTCTTGACCCCATTTAGGGTTTTCTAGGCAAAGATACTGGAGTGGTTGGCCATTTCCTTCTCCAGCTCATTTTACAGATGAGGAAACTAAGGCAAACAGAGTTAAGTGATTTGCCTAGGGTCACATAGCTAGTAAGCATCTGGGGCCAGATTTGAGATGAGTCTTCCTGACTCCAGGCTCAGCACTCTATCCACTAGCTACCCATCCCTCACAACAAAGAATAAAAAAGAGAAAAAAAAAATATCCAGTTCAAAAAGACTAACATCCTGTAGTTTTCCACATGAATATGCTAGGGTAGGGCTTTTTAATTATACAAGGGACATCTCATAAAAGCGAAAACAAACAATTTTGATTTCTTACAATTGTAACTTGGCCAAGGTCATAAAGATAGTAAGCATCAGCTGAGAAAATCACATACACCAGAGGGCTTGTGGGTAGGTAGGCTGTCAGAGTACATATTCAGAAATAACTACGTCAAAACGAATGCCATTAACAATCGCTGGAAATCAATGCATGCCCCATCAATTTTAAAACTACTTTCCTATCCATTATCAATTTATTTAGGGACCACAAATGTTGATGATCATTTACACTAATGACCAGTGGGGCAATTATATCGACACATGTAATCACAGATAGTTCTTCTGTGTAGATGGATCTCACTCATTCTTTTTGCCACCCTCTGTTCATGACAGATAAAAATAAGAATTATCAGGGGCACCTAGGTGGCCCAGTCAATATAGTACTGGGCCTGGTGTACCTAATACCTAACTTCAATACTAAGTTTGAATACCTAAGTTCAAGTCCAGCCTCAGACACTTATTGGCTGTGTGACCCTGGGTTAAATCACTTAATCTCTGTACCTATCATCTGAAGTCATTTATTCTCAGTTTCGTCAACTATAAAATGGGGTTAATAATGGCTTCTACCTTGCAGGGTTGTTGTGAGGATCAAATGAGATAGTATTTATTAAGTACTTAACACAGTGCCTAGCACATAGTAAGCACTATATAAATCTTTATTATTACTATTACTTCCATTATCAGA